CGCAGGACTCCCACCCTACCACCCTTGCATCCCACCGTGAAACAGCACACACGCTCAAGCCTTCTTTCTGCAGGATGCGCAGGAAAACCGATCCACAGCTTGCCTTATGCCAGCTGTGCTACGTCGACCGAAAACTTCCTTCCTGGAGGTGAGTGGGGCTGCGGCGGGAAGTCGAATGCGACCTAGCCTAGCACTCGAAACCTATACCAGAATCTGCACGCACCTGCTTCGAGCAGTGCAATGGCTACGCGAGCCACAAGCAACAGCCAACTACGCGAAAGAAGGACACTGGAACTACGCCTCAAGTGTACACAACAAGCAACGCGACCTCACACAAGCTCGAGACGCGCGCAATCACATTTTGACATGCATGAACGCGGCAGGCGGCGTCACAGAGTCGCACCTTGGCTAGCACTTACGGCAGCCAAGAGCGCTCGACACCCCACCGTCCTTCAAATAGGGTGGAGCGGGCGGGTCTTTTCAAGAAGAGGCTACGTTGCTGCCACACCTCAGCAACGAGCGCCTACAACACGCAGGCATTACGTTGCTACGTCACTTGAGCAACGAACGCCTGCAACACGCGGCATCCGTTCCTAACGTGTCACTACGTGCAAGCATGCACTTCACAACAACGAGACGCTTCATGTGCTAACCGCTACGCTGGCACAGTTATGCAAGCAGCAAGCAACAAGCAACAAGCAACAGGCAACAGGCAACAGGCAACAGGCAACAAGCAACAGGCAACAGGCAACAGGCAACAGGCAACAGGCAACACGCAACAGGCAACAGGCAAAAGGCAACAGGCAACACGCCACACGCCACACGCCACACGCCACACGCCACGCGCCACGCGCCACACGCCACACGCCGCAACCCCGCGACCGGGATCCTACCGAATCCGGACCCTGAACACAACAGACACCCTTAGCCCAGCACAAGACCACTGCACGCAACGCTCTCTCTTTTTGAAAGGTGGTGGTAGAAACAGCCAGAATCTACACTGACCGCATGGCTAAAAGCCCTGCTTAGCCAACATGTAACAGCTTAAGAGCTGACAAACGATGCATCAGCCGCACGCTGACAGAAATGTATTCCCCCATCAGCCTGTCGCTGACAAACGGTGGCCCCTGCCCAGATTTCCGATCGGGCAAGGGCGGGCGGGACCGGCCAAACAAAGATCACTGTGCTTCAGCCACACAGCTTCAAGCATAAACATGCCTCATTGTCTGGCCACTTCGCACTGCCACGCGACAATCACCGCAAACCACCACTTACCAAAAGTACTTACCAAAAGCGACGCAGCAAAGACGAGCCCCTCGTACGCAACACGTGACCTCCCACGTCAAGCAAGAGAGAGAGACAACCTACCCAAACAAGGGATTCTATCGGATCCCTCTTTTTGCCCCGCCGGTTCCCTCCGGTTCGACCCGCCTCAACTGTTGGCCACCCAAAAGCCGCGCTACACGCGTAACACATATGACCGTGCAGAAACGCACAGCACGTCAAGCAGGATCAAGCCATTGCTCAGCAACTGTTTTTGGACTAGACACACGGCCAGATAGGTGGATTTCTGAAAGAAAGAAGGAAAGAAAGAAGAAGAACAGAGAGAAAGAAAGAAAGAAAGAAAGAAAGAAAGAAAGAAAGAAAGAAAGAAAGAAAGAAAGAAAGAAAGAAAGAAAGAAAGAAAGACGTTCGACTCTCGACACACTGCGCGCGCGAGATGGGATCCTGTTACGCTGATGCCACAAGAAGCCAGGACACCCTGAAGCGACTGAGCACTCACGCAATTTCTCCTTTTTCTTTCCTGTGGACATCCAAGTTCCCGGGATCATTGCCGCCCGGCCTTCAACATCCAGCTGAGCTCGCTGAACAATCATTTCAGGGTGGAACGGTGGAAGGGCGGGAAGAAAAACCGGAGAAAAAAATGTAAAAGAAAAAAGAAAGAGAAAAAAACAAAAGATAAAAAGAAAAAGAAAGAAAGAGAGAACGAGAGAAAGAAAGCCAGACAGACAGACAGAAAGAAAGAAAAAAAGAAATAAAAACCTATGAGAGAAGCAAAAAAAGAAAGAAAAAGAGCTCTGTGCCAGACAAGCCAGCTTAGCTTCCAGCGGGGGCACGTTGCCGCTGCATCGAGAAAGGGGCGCTGTGAAGAATTCAGGGCCAAGGCCCCGTTTGCGGCATTTCCGTTGTCGCACGCAAAGACCACCCCACATTCTACTGCCTACGGCAGAAGCACTGAGTTGAATTCCCAGGCACGTAGATGGCAGAAGAGGCAGGCGCACATACTTAGATTTCATATCTTGCGTCCTGGCAACGCAACAGGAACGATCCATACGCTAATCGAGACACGCCTGTAGTCCCACCAGTCTCGGAATGATTGCAATAAGGGGCTGCAAACACACGACACTGCAACTCACAGTCCTACGTTAGCTGTGTCCATAGGACCAAGCTGCGCTGGGGTGGAAATACGGCGGTGCCTCAAGGCTACACGCACCAAAAACACTTGGTGTCTTTGGAGGTTTGACTCCCTGCCGCGCAGAGATCGCCACCGATCGCAACCCACTCCTGCAGCAATATCATCGCACACGCACACTGCAGCACGCGACAAACATGGCAGCGACTGAGGCGCCTAGCAAGGACGCTGGGCATTAGGACAAGTGACATTCAGAATGTTTCCGAACCCAACCTACGCCGCCGAAAGTGGAGGGCAGTCGCCCACAACGTGAGTGGACACTTTTCTGAGTGATCCGGGGTTGAATGGTTGGGTAAGCCGAGACACACGAGGCATCTCACGATGATGACACTATACACATGGGTGAAGCAAACATGTTGATTGGAGCAGGAGCGTGGGAACGAAGGCTGTCGACCTAGTCTGCCTAAAGCGGAAAACAGCGGCAATTGCACCAGTGCATCTTACGAAGGTCCTCAGGACACACTGCGTACTGAGTGCATTTTTCCACTTCTGCGCATGGCCAAGCAGCACATCTCCTGGCCGCAAACTCACGCTGCACAGAGCATCACTCCAAAAACTCTTGGAATTGGCGTACGCTGCAAAGTCCACCTTCTCTGCATTGCCTGGCATTACGCATAGAAACACACATCAACGATGCACTTTAGCCAAGACACCTGCAAAAGACACTGTCTGCTCACAATTGGACTCCAGATCTGCAACACCTCGTTTCGTTCGGACAAAGTCATGGGCGGCATCAGCTCTGTGAAAGAGTGAAACCCCGCACAAGAGGGCGAATTGAGGGCAGCTTGCTGGTAATCCTCCAAGACGGGA